CCTCCCTCATCGCCACTAGGTAGGATCTAACATGTATCCTAACCTGTGTTCGGGCGGGTACGGTTCGGCTGGCCCTCCAACTGCTCTCTAGGCTTCTTTTCCGACGTTTCATCTCTCTCAGCTCCTCGGTGAACCAGGGAGCCAATCGAGACCTACGTCGGGTCAGAGGCCGCAAAGGCACGACCCGGTCCAATGCTGCACGACCCGGTTCATTTAGTGACTGCTCAAAGTTATAACGGCACTGAAAAATGTGACTTAGGGCTGTAATTTTTAATGGGGTAATTGCCAAGGAATGTTTGCATTAAAACCTTATGCTAAAAGCAGGGGTGTTCAAACTCGGCCCTTTTATGACTTGTGGACTTCAACTCCCAGAATTCCTCAGCCAGGCACGCGTGCCTGGCTGAGGAATTCTGGGAGTTGAAGTCCACAAGTCATAAAAGGGCCAGGTTTGAAGACCGTTGTGCTAAAGCATTGTAACATAGAAAGTACCAACTGGAATGAGCTTTACAGGTTGTTCTCGACTTATAACAAATTGATTTAGCGACCATTCAAAGTTACAATGGCACTAAAAGGGATTTTTGACCGTTTTTCACACTTAGGACCATTGCAGCATGCCCCATGGTCACATGATCCAAATTCAGACACCTGTCAACTGACTCATATTTAGGACGGTTGCAGTGTCCCGGAATCATGTGATCCCCTTTTGTGACCGTGTTACTAAGCCAGATTTACTTAACAAAAGTGTTACTAAGTTAACAACTACAGCGATTCTCTTAAAACAGCTGTGGCAAGAAAGCTCGTAAAATGGGGCCAAACCCGCTTAATAACTGGCTCGCTTAGCAATAGAAATTTTGGGTTCAACTATGAGGGGAAGTCGAGGATTACCTATAATAAAAACAATCCACTGCTGATTACAGACAGCCCTTTTGTTACAGAAGTTTTCCTCGGGGAACTGGTGTGTCTGAAGATTACAAACGAGGACAGTGGTGGCGAACCTATGGCACGGGTGCCAGAGGCGGCACTCGGAGCCCTCTCTGTGGGCACACGTGCCGTTGCCCCAGCCTCACCTCCCCCGTGACCCCCTCACCAGCAGCCCCCCTGGAGGAGAGTCGCCCCCCAAGCGTGGTCCACGTGGAGCAGTGCAGCTAAGGACATGGCAGCCAGGCAGCGTAGACAAGACTCTGCCCTCATGCCCCATAGTGCACAGTTGATGCTGCGGGGCGCGGGCAGAGGGCATGGCCTCCATGGTGCTGCTGGGTGATCTGTGGCAGGCCCTGGAGGCAGTGAGTGGCCCTGCGGGCAGGCGGGGTGGGGACGGAACTGGGGCAGGGCCAGTTTTTGGGCACTCAGTCTCTAAAAGGTTCGCCATCACTGAACTGGAGAAACGCTTGCTATGCACCAAACTCCATGCCTTAGGGCAGGGCTTTTCAACCTTTTCACCCATTGTACCCCTTTTAGGAGATGGCAATATCCGAGTACCACGTCGCCTAGCAAGGTGTCAAAAAATTGTTGACCAACCCCCCCCCCGAAAAATGTGATAAAGTACATGTAGTCCTCGACTTACAACAGTTCACTTAGTGACTGTTCGACTGTTACAATGGCACTGAAAAAAGTGTCCCTCCAGGCACAGCCGAGCAAGACACCTGCCTGCCCGCCCGGCAGCACTCTTCCTCCTGTCCGAGGTTTTCATTGTTGTGAGCATTTCTGTTGAGGATTGGCAGCGGGGGTGGGGTGGGGGGTGTTTGGTTTTTATTCCCCCCCGTCTGCTTCGTGGTTGCAGCAGGTTTTGGTTACTTCACATGACCCTGGGACACTGTGACCGTCATAAATATGAATCAGTTGCCAAGCATCTGAATGTGAATCACAAGACCCTGGAGATGCTGCAACATTCCAGCTGATCGGTGCTTCTTCAGGGCTCAGCAGAAGCACCAGGATCAGTGCTGAGCTCCAGCTGGAGCCTGGCGCTGATCCTGGCGCTTCCACTGAGCCCTGACAGCCCTGCAGCTCCAGCCATCTCTTGCTCAGGCTTGTGCGCTGCTGTCACCGGTTGAGCTCATTCCCCTCCCCCACTACTTTTGTAGGATGGTCGCTTACCACCTGCCAGGTACTAATTTACCACAGGTGGTACCCGTACCACTGGTTGAAAAGCCGTGCCTTAGGGAAAGTGTTTTCTAAAAAAAT